GATATGGGGGCGCCAGGCGGGAAGGGGACCTAGGCCGCGCCGAACCCTCCAGCTGCTTGCTGGGCGAGCCCCTGTCCCGGGGACCGTCGGGATGTCACCATGACAACGACCCAACCCCGTGGGATCTTATCAGACGGGGTGGGGGAGGGTCTTAGGTACCTGTCGCCCACCCCGTCCCCCCAGCTAGTCCACGGCCTATGACACCTCCTGAACTATATACCCACCCCCTGTTCTCCTCGCAGGGAAGTGCAGGCTGGAGGTAGGGGCCTGACAGCGCCCCTCCTCGCATTATCCAAGAAAGGAGGGGTCCCGGGTCTCCTGCGATCCCAGCCTCCGAATCCCAAGGGGCTCTCTCTGTGCCACCCCCTCCCCTGCCGCCTGCTTGCAAATGCAGCTCCTGGGGAGTAGGGGGGCTGAACCTCCAGGTCAGCAGCTGGTTTCCCAAGCTTCCTCCTGTGGTCTGGGGTCCTGTCTGCCTCCTCTCCCAGCACCCCCAGGGTCCAGTTTCCAGTTGAATGAAAAACTCTGTCATTGCCAAGGGACATGAACTGAGCCTGGGCACTTGGATGATGGGGACGAGCAGGACTCTGTGCAGCCGGCCTGTCCTGGACTAGGGGGCACATGGAAGGCGTGGGACATAGAAGCCACCAGGGTGGGTAGGTGCTGGCCTCCCAGAGGGCTGGCTGGGGGGTCCAGCTTGGGCCATTCCTAGTGTCCCACCCAGATGATCCACCTGCTTGCAAATGCCCCCTCCCCACCCAGCTGCTTGCCTCTGGGTAACTGGCTGCTGGCTCCTCTGAAGCCTTGTCCCCTTGGGCAGGGCATTGGGGTTGGACATCACCTCACCCTACAGACCTGGCCAAGATGTGGCTGCCCACTCAATTGGTTGGGACGCTGTGGCAGGGCACACTCTCCTGCAGCAGCATTGAACCTGGGGTCCAGCCAGGTCCCCTGAACACTAGCACTGGGAGCCAGGGAGATGGGTGCCCACGGGTGGTCTCACATGGGCGTGGGCGCTGGGCCTGGCAAGCCCCTGCTTGGAGTGTATCAGTTGCTAGGTTAGGCTGGTGGGCCATCAGGGGCTGGGGTCCTGGGTGTGTGAGGAGGAGTGGCCCGGTAACAACTTGGCAGACGAAGGAGCAGGAGAACCCATCCATACTGCAAAGGCGGTAGGTGGGTGGGGGTGCCTTTGTCAGGGTGGTCAGAGGAGGCCCCTCTGAGACCCTGGTGGGGCCATGACTAGCAGAGGGGAAGGCATTGCAGGTGGGAGGATAGCACATGGGGTAGCCTTGCCTGGGCAGGACTTTGGGGTATTGTGGAAGGGGACAGTGTGGCTGGGTGGGGAGATGAGGCTGAAGGGTGTGTGCACCCAGGGGTGAACAGGGGTGCTGGCTTGAGGGCTCAGAGACTTTCTGTGGCTGAGATGTCCCCTCCCATGCTCTCTGCCCAGTGGCCACCCACCTTGGATGAGGCCTGCAGTGGTGGCCCCTTGTAGGGCCTGGGGGAGAGGGCAGGCCTGGAGTGGCAGGTGATGGGAAATGTCCTCAGTGCTGTCCAGCACGCCTCTGATAGGATCTCCCTTGGGCTGGGCTGGGAACATCAAAAGGTGACCAGGTAGGGCTGTTCCTAAAGTCCAGATAAGATCCGATGATCTGTCATT